TCTATCTATCTATCTATCTATCTATCTATCTATCTATCTATCTATCTTTTTTTCTGAGGCAATCAAAGTTAAGTGACTTGACCAGGGTCACACAGCTAATAAGTATCTGAGGCCTGATTTGAACTCAGGTTCTCTTGACTCCAGGCTGGTGCTCTATCCACTGTACCACATTGCTGCCCCAATAAAATTTTACATGGTCTTCACAAGGGAGGCAGACATTTAAAACCTTTATACTAAAGAAATTGGATTTTTTTTTAATTTGACATTTTGGTCATTTTAAGTTATCATTGACTTTGCAGCTCTAGCTTACTTTTGAAGTAATTTCTTTTTTCCCAAAATACCACCTTCTTCCTTCCTATCTCCAAGAGATAAGAGGGAGAAAGGAAAATGCACATGGCAGGGCAAGGGAGGTCATATGGTCAAACACACACTTCATACTCTATTACTGGTCTCTACAGGGTGCTAATAAAATGTAAACGTGTGAATTAGAAAACAAGTCCGTGGTTGTTGATAATCTTGATAGAATAATCACTGCCTGCTGACAGTCTAATGAAACTGATGAATTGATAACATAATTCATCTCCTTAGCCATTTATCTTGTCAAATGGTAGGCTAATAAAATATACTCAAAGTAAAAGCAAACACTCTGGGGAGTTCACTCATTTGTCTAGATGAGAAATTGTTATATGGGAAAATGAATGCCAATGAGCAGCTTTTACTGCAAACAGGGCCAGATGACAATCTCTCATACAAACTTAAATGGATGGTGATCGCCAAAAGGATAAATGTAATTAAGATTTTTTTTAGAAAAATGCTTTAGAGTCTCTCCCAAAGATCTAAAAAACATCATTCAATGGCTGTGAGTGAAACAACCATTCCTAAAGAGTAAAAAGTTTAAACAATAATCTCTAGGAGTATGCTCATCTCTTTTTGGAGATGAGTGTGATGAATTCTATGACCTTAACTCACAGAACAGAAGTGGGAATCCAGCCTCAATATGGAGCCCCATTCTAAGTCGATAAATTCCACTTATCTAAATCAGGAGTTCTTAATCTGGGGACCAGGGACTCCAAAGGTTTCTGTGCATGGATTTCAGCTAGGTCTGTGAATTTGGATAGGGAAAAAATTACACATTTGTTTTCATTAACCTCCAATTAAAGTTTAGTATTTCCTGCAATTATGGTTGTAGGCAATGATAGCTTTCACCTTGATCTGACTTTTAAAATTAAGTTTAATTTTAATTTGCTTACATGTTAAATGAATTGACCTACTTAATGTATTAATAAAGCACACCTATTGCAATATCCCAAATTTTTTAAACAGATAACTATTTCAATATAAATGGTTTTCTTTGTAAACTTATTATTTTATTTAACTTATGTATTATTCTGAGGAGGTGTCCATAAGCTCTACCAGATTGTCAAAAGAGTTCACAACAAACAAAAAATAGTTAAGTTGGTTTAAATTAATTTTGCAGATTTTCACTAACATTAACAGTAATTAACTCAATCACATGATGCTAACATCCAAGATGTTAGTTCTCAGAGGTCTAAGTATCAAACTAAAGAGAAAAAAAATAATAATCTTTCCCAGCATCCCTGCAATGATAAAGATTTGACATCATTTTTATTTGACTGTTGAAGAAATGTGGCAAAAAAAGAATATAGGAATTATGGAAAAATCAGGACAGCATCAACAATGACTTCCAATTATGACTGTTCTCATTAATCCTCTTGAAGAAGTCTTATATCATATCTATGCTCATACTATATAAAAGTATAGATTATGAGGGAAGGATTTTTAAAACTTTAACTTTTATATAACACTATGACATGAAATGTAATTGAGGAAGTAAATGAAAGGGGGAAATGGGGATTAGTAGTGATCACTCATCATTTTTTAAATTCTTACCTTTTGATTCAAACTGGAAAAAGAGGCAAAGGGAAAGCAAAAATTAGATTCTTCTTCATTAAGCCCTGAACATTTTAGGCAAATCACCATTGTAACAGGTGCTCTTCTATATCACAGTAAATGAAGTCAAGAGTCTTAGAGGAGTATATAGAATGTGGGATTTTGAGTCAGAAAGACCTGAGTTTAAATCCTACCTTAAGCACTTACTCATTGTATGATGTTGAGTAAGTCATTAACCTCTCTGTGCCTCATTTTCCTCATTTATATAATCAGGTGGTTGGCCTTAAGGATCTCTAAGGTCCTTTCCAGCTATAAATCTATGTATGTATGATTTTAGCCCAATCAAGTGGGTGAGTTCATGATTTGAGTTAGAAAGGAAAAAAGCAAACAAACAAACAAAAAAATACCCTTCCCCATTAAACTTTCCACACAGTCAACTTTTCATAAAATGTTTCTCATTAGCACATCTTTACACTTAACCTTTGTGGGGAGGGGGAACCTCCCCATTGTCATGTGATGAGTTAACACATCTCTTTGAGTCTTTTGAATTCTAGCAAGATAAATTTGTCACGGGACAGTCATTAACTCACTACGTATGATAAATTGATAGAGTATGAATCTGTTCTCATCCAAGACACCATATACCAGGGGGATTCTTTTAGTTTATTTGTTTGAGACTGGGTCTCCCTATCTTGCCGAGGCTAGAACTGTAGCCTGATCCAAATACCAATCAGGATGAAGGTTCTCTTTTGCTTTGTTTTTCAAATCTGGGTCAGCTCATCATTCCTTAGTGCCTGATGGGCCTCTGCCACTTGAAACTCACTCTACTGGTGCCAGACTTATATGTACACTGCACTGGATTTCACTCTATGTGGGCAGCTCAGAAATTTTAAACTCAATCCTCCATTCTCAGCTTCCTTAGCAACAGGGATGTCAAGAATGTACCACCACATCTGGCAGGAGTTGTTAACCTTTTTTGGCCCATAGTGCCCTTTGGCAGTCTAGAAATATGAACCTCTTCTTGGATAAACATCACAAAATAAAATACATTAAGTTGCGAAGGAATTCAATTATATTGATATGTCTTAAACTGGTATAGCTTACATACTAGGCTTTACACACTTTCTGGATGATGGGAAAATCAGATTCATTTGAAGAAGTCACTATTAGTTAAAAGTATTAGGAAAGACGGTCCCACAGTACCAGATTGTATTCTTGAGGGGAAAAAAAAAATTCGGAAAATGCATTTAGGTTCATGGTCCAATTCATGAAAATCCCATACTTCAATTCATTTCCAGCATCTTTTGAACAGGTGTTCAGCTGCTAGGCTTCTGCAGGTGAGGCCCATTAATGAATCAACTTGGTTTGTGGGGATTAATGAGGCAGTTTATTTCAACTACAGGTAATACAAGCCCATAATTAAATTCATCACAAGGTCCTTGAATGTCAATAAGAAGATGAATATTGGACTTACCCATCATGTTGTACAAGCTCTGAGGAGCAAATTGCCGGGGCATTTTCTGAATGGCTTCCTTATAGACGCTAAGTGCTTCCTAATGTAGGAGACAAGAGAATGGACATGTTGTCAACGGAAGTGCTGAATATAAAGAAACCACTTCAGTGAAAAGAAGATGTAAACCACCCCCTGAACCAAAGTTATAATCTTCCTACTGGAACAGTAATAACAATACTGCTACTTTTTTTTTTTAAAGCACCTTTGGGGGGAAAAGAAATTGAGCTATACTTTGAGGCCAGTATACATCAACCTCATTAGTGATAGAATCCAGTCCAAATAGCAAAGGAAGCAATATAAAAGTTTAGTATACCCAGATGTCTATTACCAAAGGTGTTTTTGAATTTTTTTTCAGTCTACACGAGTTATAAAACTAGAAAGAGACTGAAACACTTCAAGTTTGAAACTCATAGAGCAGTTATTCCAAGGCTGGAATGTCTTTAACCTCTGTGATGACTATCAAATAATCAGTATCCTATTGGGCCAGGCTATTTCTATTACCTTAATTAAAAAAAAATCAAGGCCATGTATCATATTCTCCCTCTTTTCCGGGTAAAATTATTATCTCAGAATCACAGATTAAGAGTTGAAAGGTACCATAGTGGCCAACTAGTCAAATCCCTTCATTTTACAGATGAGAAAACTGAGGACTAAAATGGTCAATGACTTGTCCAAGGACACAAAAGTAGCAAGAAGTGGAGGTGGAATTTGAACTCAGTCCTCTGACCCCAAATCCATGGCTCTTTTGACTACATCACCTATTGGAAGGAAAATATTTCTAAAGAATTACAATAGGAATAGGAACTACACCTACAATTTCACTGGTACAGGGAACTTCCAACAGTTAGAGCTATGACAAAATTGAACAGGCTTCCTCTTTGCAAAAGGTAATGGGTTCCTTCTTGATACCTGTTGTTAAATAAAAGCTTTAAACAAAAGCTAGACGATGACTTACATCTTATAGAATACTTTTAATGTTTGCAAACCACCTTCCATGTTATCTCATTTGAACCTCACAACAACACTGAGAGGTAGGTGTTGTTATTATCTCCATTTTACAGATGGAGAAACTGAGTCTGAAATAATTTAAGTGAATTGACAAGGGCTACAGAGTTAGTAAGTGTCTGAGATGGGAACTGAACTCAGATCTTCCTAACTCCAAGCCCAAGGGCATCCTTACTGAGGTTCAGTTTGAATTGAATTAGCCTCTGAGGATCATTTCGACTTTGTAATTCTGAAACTGAAACTCTTAATAGAACTGTCCGCAGAATTCACTGGATGAGACAATTTGGAGCTGGAAAGGACCTCAGAGACATCTATCTAGTCATCTAGCCCTAACTTTACACACGAAGAAACTGAGACCTTGAAAGGTTAATGACTGCTCAGGGTCCACATCAATTAATTTTTTGAGCTGAGACTGGAAGACAGTCAGTCCCCTTGACTCCAAACTCAATGTTTTTTCCACTATACCTCACTGATTCACATAATACTGATAATAGAACTCAGAAATAGCTTGTACTTAAAGTCTGACATTTTATCACAAATACTGAAAATAAATAAATAAGTATATGTGTATGTACCCATAAATTTACATATATACACATATATTTGTATACATGTATATATGCATGTGTGTACATATATATGTATACATGTATATATGCATTTATATGTGTGTATAGGTGTATGTGTATATCCATATATGCATGTATGTATATATTGATACGGATATGGATGTATATAAATGTATATGTATACATACACATACATACACAAATATATATCTCCAGCAAGTACATTCTAGTATTCTTCCATCAAGTAAATTGAGGTATTAATTAAGACATTTTATAATGTCAACAACACAACATAATGGTCCAGGGGTGGTGAATCTATATAGACAAAAATGTTAATGCATTAATATGCCCTGTATTCCATTTATGAAATCAATGTCACACTAATATTTCATTGCCTTAAACAATTTTACAGAGAAAACAGAACTAGGTAGTTAGTTCAACTACCTAGTTTTAAAGATATTTAAAAATAACTACTCAGGAAATAACATAAGAGAAATTAAACACTTTGCTCAAGTGACATAGGGGTAGAATTAGAGACTGAACTTCTGATTTCACTAGTATAAGGAATTCCCAGGTGAGGAAGGTCCCTCTACCAATGCAGGTTGGCACCTTCTCTGTAACTTCTATATAGTCTTAAAAAGCTGCCAAGATCACTTTGAGGTTAATTGACATGTCCAGGGTCACACAGCCAATATGTATCTGAAGTGCGGCCTAAATTCGGGTCTTCTTGGCTCCAAGACTAGCCTTCTTCCACTGTCATATGTACTAACTAAAAGGAATTTTTTCCCTTTAGTCTATGTATCCTCAGTACCTGGAATAAAGTAGACTCAATCAATGCTTGTTGGTTGATTGATTCAATGGCAGCATAAGGACTAGAACTCATCTCTATTCCTAGTTTCTTACTCCATATGCTTAAAGATCCAAGAATCATCAGGTTAAATTGCAAAAAAGAAGACAATCTGTACATGTCTGCCTCCGGCTGTAATTCTCAGATTTTAGTCTTGCCCTAGAGACCAAAGGGCTGTTAGAGTTTTGCCCAAATTAATAGCTGAAATAACAATTAATTTCATAACTCTCTTTTATATTCAAGCTCTCTCTCTCTCTCTCCTTCTTTCTCTCCCCCTCCTTCTTTCCTTTCCTACACACACACACAAACACACACACACATATACACGCTCGCGCTACCTACTGCTTTCTAATATTCCATTTTCCTTTTTCCCTTTTTTTTTTTTGCCAATTGATTATTAGGAAGAGGTTCCTAGCATAAGATGACTCTATGATAATGTCATCCATTCTAATTAACCAAGGCCTGACACTTTCCCCACTACCTCACCCCAACACATGATAATTTTGAATAACTGCAAGCAATGGAAGCTAGCCATAGGGATTCTTAACAGTATCTATGTCTGCTTGCTTTTTAAACAGCAAAGCAAACCATGCACAAAAGTAAAAGTCAAATGAAGGGAAAAAATGTATAGACACATCACTCCTATGGCAATGCAAACATGTTTAATTAGAAATAACAACAACTCCTAAAGCCATAATGCTCCACGGGGCATCCAACAGGTCAATTGGGAAAAAAAAATATTTAAATTCATAAATGTCCCTCAGTTAAGTGTCAAATGGGATTGTTTTTGCAAATCTTGCAAGTGTATCACAAAGGGAAAATGTTAACAAGTATTCAATGATAGCAAAAGAAAAAAAAAAAACAACACATCAGCTCTTACCTACTGAGCATAGAGGTGCTCTAGATGAACTAAATTTACCAAAAGCTATGATTTCAAATGTAACATCCTCATTGATCTATCACAAGCTTTTAGGAAATTTGATTTTCTTTTAAGGGTGAACCAGACTATGTCATGGATCTTACTGTTCTCATTCCAACTCTGTCCATCATACCTGAACTATGAGCTATGATCTTTTTTTTAACTAAGGTTTTTCACTAAGTACATTGAAGCATTAAAGTCAAATAAAAAGAATAAAGTAGAAAGAATGCTGAATTTGGAGGCAGGAGGTCTGGGTTCAAATACTACCTCTACTTCCTGTGTGAACTTGGGCAAGTTATTTAATGTTCCTGGACTTCAGTTTCTTCACTTGTAAAAGGAGAGACTTGGATTACATAACATCTGAGGACCCTTCCAGCTCCTCATCCATGAACCTGTGAACTGTTTTAATGACTTCGAAATTAACAAAGAAGGGAATTCAAAAGAGTTAAAACCCTAGGGCTAGGGAAGAATGGAGAAAGTAAAGCAAACATAATAATCTCTATATAAGATTGGATTTATACAAAGTGGTGTAGCACTGGTCTTGGAATCAGGATTCTAATCTCCATTGTTCAAATCCAGCCTCAGGCATTTACTAAGTGTGTGACCCTGAGCAAGTCACTTAATCCTGGTTGCCTCAATTTCCTCATCTATAAAATGAGCTGGAGAAGGAAATGGCAAACCACTCCAGTGTCTTTGTCAAGAAAACCCCAAATGGATCACAGAGTCGGACATGACTAAAACATGTCTGAACAATAATATAGAATGTAATAAGAGGTGGCATCATCATTACTAATAAAATACTACAAAGCAGACTCCAGTGAGAGTTGTTACCTTTAAGCACCACAGTTTAGTTTTCCAGAGTAAGAAGAGGAAAGAGGATATTTTAAAGTGTTCTAAATTTACTTACACGCCGATTTCTCTATGATGGATACACATTCAAACTTGGAGTGAGGACAGCCTAGATTCAAATTCTGCCTGTGACATAGACTAGACATTGACTCTGAGTAAGTCAATAAATCTCTCAGTGCCCAGGCAATTCTATAGGTCCCCATGGTGCAGAACATTTGTCCATCTAAGCTATAAAGGGAATTTTCCTCACCAATACTGATGAAATCACAGACCCAGACCAAAAAAAAAAAAGGGGGAGAGAGAGGAAGGGAGGGAGGGGGATGGGGGAGAGGGAGAGAGAGAGGGAGAGAGAGAGAGAGAGAGAGAGAGAGAGAGAGAGAGAGAGAGAGAGAATGAATAAGCATTTGGCCTGACCTCATAGCGACCTTGTTCATGATAGAGTTTTCCCAAATTATAAAGGCAACTGGTAACAGAGCTCTTATGGGTATGAGGATCCTTCAAGTTTTCATCAGGGATCTCTGAACATTTTATGAATGTACGGCGGGCTTCTTCAGTCTTCCCTTGGTTCATGAGAATAATGCCAGTATTTAAATATGCAGCTAGGGGAAAAACAAAAGGAAATATAAGCTTAAATGGAGCATTGATACTGAGACTACACAACATTACTCTATTAGTTAGAGGTAACATTTCTACTGTTTGGGGAATGACTTCATGACAGGGATTCTTAATTTTTTGTGTGGTGTAGATCCATTTGACTGTCTGGTGGAGCTTATCTGGTGAAGCTCTACAGAAAAAAAAAAATGATTTGAAATAGATAAGGAAAATACAAAGGATTCCAAAGGAAACCAATTGCATTGAACTACTGTCGTGGGTTTAGCAATGTACCCAGCTCTGTGGGGCTCCAGAAGGTGGAGAGACATAGTCCTGTCTCAAAGAGCTTACAATCAAAATGAGGAACATCCATCTGAAAACTGCATAGATGTCATAATAAGATTCAAAAATTAGAAAAACCTGTAATTTAGCATAGGTTGAGAATTACTAATGAAATATTACAAAAATAGCTGCTTCTGAGGATTAATAAAATTCTTTAAAATTGGTTATAATGTCCTAATTTATTGATTTTATGTTAACTTTAAACCCTACAGCTGAGTTTCCTAGAATAAGAAGAAAAGGAGTATTTTTAAGTATTCTAATATTACTTACAAGCTAATGTAGGTCTGCTACCAATCGCCAGTTTATAGTAATGCAAGGCTTCTTTGAACCGGCTGTTCTCCTGTAGTAATAACCCTCTACATGAGGAAAGAAAACATAAATTGGAAGAGAAAAAGATAAATTACTGAAAATAGGAACCACAAAGTTTTATTTTATGTGCACAAAATAAAAATATTTAAAAGTACAATAAAATACTAACCTATTTCAATAAAAAATATAAATAGGAGGAAATGATCTCGTAAGGGAGAAAATATTGAATAGTTATCAGCTTCGCTCATATGTTTGTACAATGAATTAGAAAGTAATTACAAAAGAAAATTGTATAACCATGGTTTTCCCCCGTTTTTCAAATAAACCTTTTCCTTATACCATTGCCAGGCTTCTCATTTTTTTTTTCCTTTTGGACTATCCACAGGCTCACATCACTTAGCAAAGGAAATTTGGTCTAGACAGTGACATGTCTGGAAATGTGAGCTGTCCTTCAGCCTGGTCATGTTAGGACATATTTGTGAGACATAAGGCCATTATTACCCTAAGATCATTCACTTAGCTTCAGATGAGCTGAGCTAATAGGGGCAGGGGGCAGAGGGCAGGGGTGGGATGGAGGAGAGGAGAGAGATAGAATCAACTTTATGGTAAACAACTGAAGATAATCCCTGCTGTTATTTCCCTCTTAACTTGAGCCAAGGCTATAAGTTTGGATTTCAAGGGTCCCAAGCAAACTTTCAATCCATTTTCCCAGGGAACACCTGTTACCATAGACCCTGGGAAAATCTTATTTATCTCTTTGGGCTCTGAAGGAGGAAAGACTACATCATGAGGAGCTGTGCATATTGGCAGAGCCTTTCCTGGGATATCTGACAAAACCTAAATGAGAGTGGATTCCTAAACAAGCCTTTCTAATTTAGATTGTAAACTTATGGGCAGCAGTGATTGAACTAATAGCAAAGCCAAGTTAATTTGTCTTTTCTCTCCCCAAAGGTTCCTAAGTACTCTTATTCCCTCTTTCTAGGAGGTGGTAGCACCTTGTCCCAAGACAATAAAGTTATGCTTGGAAAAACCAGCTTCTTGAAGTTACTTTTTTTTTTTTTATAGAAAGGGAAAATAGCATGGTAGAAATAGTACTGAATTTGTAGTCAGAAAACCCCAAAGTTTGAACCTCAGTTCTGCTACTTATTACTTGTGACCTTGGGCACTTCATTTAACCTCTCTTGGAGTATTTCCATCTTGTAGGGAAGGTGGACTATAATTCTAATATTCGGTAACATCACTAAAGTCTTCAACCAATTCACACCATAATTCCATTAAAAAAAAATAAGAAAAAAAAACCTCCGTAATGTCAGAAAATTCCCTAAGACATGAATCAGAGCACTGGCATGGATCTGAACTGGTATTGCACCCCAGTAGTGATAATTCCTTTAAGGACTGTTCTGTTCATCATTTTTATATGGCTCAATGAACATCCATAAATCTTATTTTAAGGGAGTTAACTGCCCCCTGTACTGATCTTTTGCCTAGCATTCTGATTTCTTGGAATTCAGGCAAGATGTTAGGTAAAGTATGCTTGTAAGACGACCTTTCTCAGCTCCAATATTTACAGGAAAGGATAGATAGATTAATTTAGCCTAGAGTGAAATGAATACAGAGTTAACTTATAGACTGTCCCTGGAATCTGCCATTTTTAGAATCTACCTATAATTTACACCAGAAGTGTCAAACACAAACTAGATTAAAATGTAATTGGGCAATATTTAATAAAATAAGTCAAAATATAATTGAACATAGATAATGTTAATATATGGTTTTCTAAGTCAATATACAGCCCATAAAAAGGTTTAGGGGTCCCCACTTCTATTTGAGTTTGACACCAGTGATCTCCACTATCCCTCAAGAGATTGGTTGAACTGGTGGCCAAAAAGAAACTTAAAAGGAATGAATATTGATGGACTTTTATGATCACTGGATCATAAGACTGTAAGCTAGAAAGGTCCCTTAGAGGTCATCCAAGTAAGTCAATCAAGAGGTCACAGTCTAATAGGCTATGCAAATGGCTATATAAACAAGATATGTATGTGTGTATATATATATATGTATGTATACATGTGTGTGTATATATACATATATATATATATATATACCCATATATATGCATATATACACATATATACATATACAGAAAGAGAGAGAGTTTTTGTGCCCAATCTATGGTACAGCATTCTGAGCTCATACTGGTCTGATCAGCCATAGCCAGATACACTGTTCCTTAACTCCAACATAGTGTTGTCATTGTGGTCCTTTTTGAGAACAATAAACAATAACACTACCACATATATGCATATATATTATATATAGCAATTAACAGAGATGAGGCACTAGCATGAACAGATGAGTAACTGACTCTTGCAGAGGGTTAGTGACTTCCCCAAGGACAAACAGGTAGTTAGTAACAGAGTTAAGACTTGAACACAGGTTTTTCAAGTCCAATTTTACGTGCACAAAATACAAAATTCTTTCTACTACACCATGGTATTATTTTTATAATGTATTTAATTCTTGGTAGTAAGTGTTATTCAGAAATCATTCAAGTATATACATACACACACACACACACATATAATATAAATACATATGTATGTTTGTATAGTGTTATATGCTAACATGTTAAGGACCTATGATTCTGTTGGTCCTGGAACTCCCCTTACTAATGTCCAGAATAGTCTCAGAAAATAGCTTGAGACTCAGAAAAATTAAATGATTCTCTTACGATCATACAACCAGTAAGTATAAGGGCAGAATTTGAACCTGGGACTTATTGATTCCCAGGTTAGATCTTTTGTCATCTATGTCTCACTGCCTCAATCCTATCACAAGGTGCCCAGGAAAAACCAAAAAAAAAAAAAGTTGCAAGCTGAATTTATTACATGGCATATACTGAGACAGTGAATAAACATTTATCAAGTGCCTACTATGTTCCAGGCACGGTGCTAGGCTCTAGGGATACAAATATGAGACTAGATAGTCCCTGCCCAGGAGAAAAGTCAGAAAAGTCCCAAAGTTGGATAGCCCAATAAGAAATGAGGTGTCTGAGCTGAGCTCCCTCCATAAATGGAGGTTTTGAAGTTCATGGCTCCACCCTTCAAACAGAGCAACAGAGGGTGGTGATGAGGTGAAGTACAAAGATTCATGTGATCTTGCTAGATTATGAGGTTTTCCCAATAATGAACTGAATATTTTTTGAATATTTATAGGTAATCTAGGTGACACCTAGGTGGCGTAGCGGATAGAGGTCTGTGCCTCGAGTCCGGAAAACTCATCTTCCTAAGTTCAAATCTGTCCTGAGATACTTATGAGCTGCGTGACCCCAGGGAAGTCACTTAAACCTGTTTTCCTCAGTTTCCTCATTTTAAAACGAGCTAGAGAAGGAAATGGCTAACCACTCCAATATCTGTGCCAAAAAAAAACCCCAAATGAGATCATGAAGAGTTAGACAGGACTGAAACGAGAGAACAATAACAAAAGCATTCTAAGAACTCAGGGGGAGAACTAGGGTGAAAAAAAACTTAAAAGAATCACAGAGATTTGTATAAGTTAGAACATGTTTTTAGATACAACTTGTCTCAGAGCCCTTGAGTTTTCATTTCCTTTGCTCTTTAAGAGACTTTCACCTGGAGTTTTTGTAGACTTACACAGAGAAACAGGAAAGGCAAGTTGTTTGCAGAACCCCGTTATTATCTTGCCCCTGCAGCAAACGGCAAGACAGAGGCATACTGACTCAGTAGCCATAAGTAGGGGGAAACAGAGTAGGGAAGAAGGGAACAAACATTCCTCGAGCACCTACTGTGTGTCAAACGCTGTGCTAAGCCCTTTACAAATATTAAAGAGTGGAAACAGGCCTCATTTTGCAAATCCTTTCAGGGAATCTGTAAACTGGAGAAGAAGTAAAGGTATTGTGTACTAGAATGCAAGGAAAGAGAGAGTAGGAAGACCCGGGATGTAGGAGGATTGGAACAAGTTCAGAGATACCTGAGACAGAGCCAATATCCCACGCTGCAAAGATATTGTAGCTTACTATTTGAAGAATTGTTTAATTGAGGGTCCTATATTGCCTGAATGTGTATTAATACATAAAACGGCCATTAAATATGAATCATTTTAAGAGTTTTAGGGGACAGGAGGATGGAGATACCAGTCAATGGAATGGTTCAGTGGGTTAAAGAGAGATTAGCATTTTGGGTAATTTGGGGTCTATTCCAAATTATACTGCCAGACTTAAAATGAACTTGAGGTCATCATTGTCACCAGCCAGTCAAGGAGAGGTGAGGAATGGGGAGTAGGCTTCTGTTTGGTAGCTGCAGTGCCATCTGGTGGTCAAATTACATATTACACCTCCTTGACTGCTTAAATATCAACCCATAAATAAAACATTAAATTAGCCACTTTGTGGAATAACAGAGATCAGGGGAATGAGTCTGAGTAGTCGTATTATTTACTAAGCACATCTTTTAGCAATGCATCATAACTCATTATCCATACCCCTGTCACCTATATATGTGATTTGCATATAAAATATAATTTAATCATTGAAAATATTACTTTGTATCTTTAATGTGTTTTGTTACTGCACATACTCTAATTCATAAGAATATTTAAGACGGGAAAGTAAATACTTAATGGAGTCTCAAATACATTTGTGAAAAAAATTCAGCACTTAACAATAGTGCCTAGCACACAGTACGTGCTCAACGAATGCCCTGTTGTTTTGAAAGTCAGATACACTGCAATTCTTAGAAGAAGAAAAAAGATCATGAGAACATACATTCAGAGCTGGAAGGGACCTGAGAATCCATATAATCCAACCCCCTCATTTTGCAGATGAGGAAACTGAAACCCCAAAAGATTAAATAAATTGCCCAAGATCACAGTGGCAGTAAGCACCAATGGACCCAGATCCACAATTGCAAGTACATTTTCAGAATAGTAAGAATCACATCATTACTCACAACAATAATACATTTGCATAATAATTTATAATACACAAAGAACTTTGATAGTCTTTATCTCATTGTAGCCACACAGC